GTTGTAGCCACAGCTGCCCTGGGGCAGACTGACAGAAGCGAGGCCAACACCAGTAGGCAGTAGGGTAAAGTGTCTTGCCCAAGGACACAACGACAAGGACAGAGAGCCCAGGGATCGAACCGGCAACCTTCCGGTTACAGACGCACGCACGCACGCACGCACACACACACACACACACACAGATCAAAACACCCAATTAGGGAATCAAACGTAGTTGCAGCGCAACCAGTGAGGCAATGTGCAAGGGCCGCAAACCCAAACAATACCAAAGAACAAACGAAGTAAAACTTAAAACTTGAAAGTTTATTACATTGATACATATATACCAACAAGACAGTGTACATCACTGTGACAACAGCGTTTGTTTTCATTCAAAGGCTTTATGGTTTTTCCTATAATACCTGGTGAGCCGGTCTCTAGTCAAAATGCCCGGGCTGATTTTTTGTCCCAGTCCAGCCCTGTTCCCAACCCAGCAGCAACAGGTGACACAACATGCCAGTTTAGGCGAACAACGCGATGCATAAATCTTCTATTGTACTGTGTTTGCCTAGGAGTGGTCAATTTCCCACCACAACGGCAAAAGGAGATGCCTCAACAAAAGGCCTCTAAGTGGACAGCCAAGTTTGATTAAGCTGATAAAACATCTACAACTTTTGTGCAAACACACGCACTACGTAAATGAATGCACCCGTTCAAAGCAGCAGACCAAACAGAAAGCGACAACAGACGCTAGGAAATTCAGCGTCCTCATATACACAGCGCCCCTCCTGGCAATAGGTCAGCATGTTGAAAACAGGCATTGAGACCAGGCTTAAACCATCCTACTGCAACAGACAAGAAATAAATGTAAGTCTTGAATTTTAGAGAGGATATGAAAAGGAATGACATTACAAATACTTGTAAGGAACCTGAAAAATTGCAGAATATAGTTGACCTATAAAGTGTTGTTTGTTTGTTTTATTGTTTTATTCTCCCAGACAAAACTGAAGAGTAAATGATTAATTTCCTTGTAAATTTTATTTCCGACCTCCACAGCCAAGGCAGCATAAATTAACCTGGAGATGCCCTCAGCCTTTCTGCCTTAGTCATTAAGACTCTGCCTCTCAGAGGTAGATTCCTTAATAGCCACTGATTGAAACGTTTTGGGAGGCTTTTTCTTTTTCAATTACAGGATGAAAGTTCTAACAGCAGCAATAAAGTTAGTAACAAATTCAAATTTATCTAGAGCTTGAAAAATAGTTGCACTCTATGGTATCAAATGGTTTGTAAAAATCTAAAAATAAAAGGAAGGGTAATCGAAGATATCCAAAATTAGCCTTATGTTATTTGTTATATGTTTGTTTTTCACAAAACCTGATTGTGTCTCATCAATAACTAAGTTTAAAATGGATCTTAATCTTTTTTTCTCTCTTTCTTTCTAGCAAGAATTGATGTTAGAATTTTATAATCATTATTTATAAAACAAATAGGATGCCAATTGTCAATGATCAAAGATCCTTCTTTTTGGTATTAGAGAAGTTAGACCCTGAGTTAAAGTTGTTATGAGAACTCAGTTTTGCAAACTTTCTATATAAACTTGCATTAGAAAGGGAACTAACTCATCAGAGAAGGATTTATAAAATTCAACCAAGAGTCCATCTGTTCCAGGAGATCTATTGATCTTTTGTGTGTTCTTATTTTATTTTTATTGTTCTAGTGTGTGTGTGTGTGTGT